CGTGAGATTTCTTTTTCTAATCTGTTTTTTCAGAAGAGTCAACGAGTCAAGACCCCGTTTCGGCTTCACTCCAAAGTGATATTGCTTATTACAGGACATTTATAATTATTTTGGTATATTAGAATATGGCTTGCCTGAAAAAAGCAATCCAGTAGTTGTCTTATTCTAGTAAGGACATAATATAACTATAATAAACAGTATTTTTGACTTCATACTTTTATGCAGCCAGGCCCCTGAGAGAAACCCTTGATATCAAGAATGAGATCGAACTTGGGACTAGGATTTGCTCTATTTGAATTAAAAATATGTATTTATTTATTATATAGTATTACAAATAACATATTCTTTAAACTATCAGTTTAGGCGTTCTCTGGAGAACTCAATTCGTCCTTCTATACCCCCATGCTTATTTACAAGTAGTCCCCCATACAAACACCCGCGCACATATATCTCCATTTATTAAAGAAGATATCAAACTTCCAATTCCCATTATTTTGTAATTTCAATAACTTGCCCTACAAGAAATTAAAAATAGAAGTAAGCACGGCGTGGGCGCATATTGAAGAATTGCTGCTTACTAAATTACACACTCTTTTAGCTCTGTTACGTATGTTAAATTATCTGTTGTACTGGTGCAATATAGCAACATCATGATGAAATTTATTTTTGAAAAACATACACATTTGGAATGTTAAGATATTTAGCAAAGGTTAAATCTACATTGATTCGTATAAAATTAGCGTTAACTAATAAAACCTATTAGAATTTTTTTTCATTCATCATACCCGAACGTCCAATCACTAGATTGGGATACGATTTAGACATTTTTAATATGTACTAGCAAAAATTTGCTGTTATTCCATATGAAATGGGTGCAGATATTAAAAAAAAATTGAGAATAGTAATGATACGAAATCTAATATTCTTTAAAAAATCGAACGTATTTGAATATTCTATGATGATTTTAGGTAATGGTTGTTGTAATGGTTTCTGATGGTTACATAAGATCAACTTTATTTCATTCCAGCGTTGAACATAATTTCAATAGAGTAAAGTTTGAATCAAATTGATTAAAAAATCAGGGAAATAGTCTCTTTCACACCAATATTCAATAAAAATTGAGAGTGTTTTGCCTAGGGATAAGCTTTCATACAATTTACTCATACATTTGGTTTAAATATTTCATTACTTAAAGGGCGACAACAAATTCACAGAAAATAAGAAAAATATTTAAAAAGTTTGAAATATTTTCACATCAATATAAAATACCACATTATTAGTAGTCTTCATAAAGTTATTAATGAAATGAAGTAAAAAAAAATCCTGAGAGTTATTGTTAATTCTCAAAGATATATAACTAATCTTGTAATCCATAAGGGCTTCCATGGGAATATCTTAAGTAAAAGACATCATCAAAGACAGAAGAAATTCAAAGTATCACACAAAATTTGAGAACCTCTACAGTAAAGAAATTCTTTCTCTAACCAACTATGCATGACAAGGATATTGAAGAAACTAATATCAAAAAAATCCTAATCTTCAGTTAAAGAGTCATAGGATGCAGTTTATGAAGAAAAATCATAGGGTTCCCTTTTTGAATTGATCTCCAAATTATTATTTTTCCCATTAGAAGTTTTCGATCTTACACGGTTTTTGAAAATAAAATTTGTTCAGCGATAACACTAAAATATAATTTACTTATATCTACAATAACATTTTAATTGTTCTATTGTCAAATACAACATTACAAAATGTATGTTACAGTTACGAATCTTAGTCTATGATGAAAATATGTAGACAAGATAGGAACCCCCGTTTGATGATCAAAACTAAATTTTATGTGTGTATAAGCTAGTTTGTTTGGAATACCCAAGAAAGAGCATCATTTCGTTTTTAATTAATGTTTATATATAATTGATAGCGTAAATTTATCAAGATGAGCAAATAATAAAATAATATTAATAAAATAAATTAATATTCTTATAATTTATTAAATGTGTTTGATATTAAATATATTAATATTTATTTTTCTTTTATTATATTTATTTTTTATAGAAACTGACACAAAAGGGCATTTTATAGTGATTTTCGTTTGGTGTATATAGTTTTTTATTTGATCACGTTATAGAATATACTTATTAGTCACATGAAGCTTTTAGGGAAGGGGAGTTTGACACGAAAAAATCACAAAAAATCACGTGGGGGGTGGATGGGTCTAGTAAAATATCACGTGTATTTATTACCTAAATTTCCAAAAGTGAAAACAAACATTTTACGTTTTTCGTAAATTCGAAAAATTTGTTTGGAAAGTATGGTGAAGGAAGAGGTGTAATTCTAACTATCACGACGTATCACCAAGGGTAAGGAAAATCCTAAAGTTCCATTTTGAATATTATCATAGAAAAATCAAATCTTATTATTAAAATTAATAATTATTATTATGTTTTGATACGCATATTATGCGTGGACACGTGTTCGAAATCCTCCCAATGTATTTGTGAATATGCGCGCTATTATATAGATGATACACAAATGAGTTTTGCGCGTCAATTTTTTAATAAAAGTTTTAACTGAATTTGTTGGGAAAAAACAATAATCCAATCACTGTGGAGTGATGCAATGAAAATATCAAATTGATGATTGTTTGTTTTGAAAATACAATATATGATATTCATCAGCGACCAATTATTCGATGGAATTATTGATGACAATGTTGACCTTTAGGATATATATTCGTCATAAAGACTAATTAGTTTAAAGAGCTCGAGTATAAATATTTATATTTGATATATAATAGCTTACTGTTTATAAGGGTAGTCAGATTATCATTATGTTTATTGTTATATACGATGAATGCTATAGCATCCATGTCAAGTATTACGCTTCCATTTCACGCATAGTGCTTGCTCGAACTATGTGCAAATTAACACAACTTGATAGAAAAAATTTTTTGGCTTAAATTAACTGGCGAACTAATATCAAAGATTATGTAAAATATTTGTGTGCTAAACAAAAGTATAAGAGCAGCTCTATATCAAGAAAAATAAGTGATATAAAAAACTTTTATAAATGCGTATTTAATAATGGAAATATAGATATTAATGCACCACCAGCTAATGATGATGAATTAAAAAATCCAAAAATTTCTCCATATAGTGCAGTTCAAAAATTCGTGCTATGGGATACATAATTTGATTATAAGTTATCAACAAATCTCTAATAAAATTCAGAGGTTTTTGACTAAAATCAATAGCTTAATGAATTAGAACAAATTCGCCATAATTATTGTATCCGTATCAAATCTGAATATTTATGTACTTTTTGCTGATTATTTTGGTACAATCGCCTAAATAGAATAATATTTGATATAATCGCCTAAACAAAATATCATTTAAGATTTATATATGACAAGCTATAGAAATAGTTCTAACCAACACAATTGCAAATATATATAAACACCTAATTATAATCTTTAATAAGCTATGTCCAATTTTACTAGGCCAATATACACATTGCAAAAACGCCAAGCCAAACTATTGCCTGATTGATCCCTAGCAATTTTATCCATACTCCTTTTGCAACCAATGAAATGTGTTTTTTTTTTTGAAAATTATTAACTTTTCCCTTTTTTTGCCCAAACCCAAGTCCAATTTTACTCGTGCCGCTCTTGAGATCATCAGAGAACAACCTTGAAAGACCTTGGAAAACTTTTATAGATTTATAACATAGAAAAGATGCAAATCTAACTAAATCTCCGAGATATTGATTGATTGACTCTCTATAAAATACCAAAATATACCCAAATATTCCAAAATACACCCAATATTTACAATACTTTTACAAGGATTCAGCTATTAGTGTTTTCTAATTGTTTTAATCACTACAAGTGCTATAAAAACATAAAACTTTTATGATTCTTTTGTTGACTTTTCACCTGGGTTAGATAATTTTACTCTGTCCATATTTTAATAGGAATAATATGAAAAATATTCTTTTTAATCGGTAGTTCAATATTTTTTGCTTGCTGATTTGATTACATTATTGTTCGGACGTATTTTCGTTTTATTATATTGGCCATGAAGGTGAAAATCTTCTTGGCATTGAGTTTTTACACGGGATGGTTGCTACCCCTGGTAGAGGGGGTAGCAGAGAGTTTAATAGGACTAATTGTTCAATTCTAAAAGAAAAGCCCGCGAAACAAGATGTTTAATAAATAATAAATAAATATAACATCTTTCATTATAACTTAGTGACAAATCAGTGATTGTAATAAGAATTGCAACAAATAAATAATATACAAACAAATCAGTATTTAGCTACTTGGGTTAAATTATAACCCAACAACCTGAGTTAATCGAAAGAGAGTTTAAACAATTAATAAATAAATTCTATAACTACGTACATAGAAACAATTATATTGAAATTATATTGACTCTATATAGGTAAATTAACCGATCAAAAAGGATATTTCTCATTTTATGCTAATAAAAAGATGGATGAAGCAAAATTATCTTACCGCGATGAAAAATAGTATAGAAATCAAGAAAATTACATGTTTTTCATATCACTTGTAGTGATTGAAGCAATAAGAGGACACTAATGACTGAATCCTCAGGTTCTGGTTTATAAGGAATAAAATATTGTGTATATTGCATATATTCTAGTATGAAGAAGATAAAGACAACGAGCATCAACAACCTCATTTCAAATGTAGGATGGTCCGCCTTAAATTTGCTTGATAACAATCTCTAATATGCATTATTAATCGAGTTTGCAACATTTTCAGTGCTTGTCGGTTACCATGTGAGAAGATACCACTTTTTCTAGTATCTACTGAACATTTGAATCCAAAATTATTTATTTAAATTATTATTATAAACGTGGAAATCCACGTTTATAACAATAATTTAAATAAAGAATTTGGGATTCATGTTGAGTAGATACTGATCATAGTTAAACAAGTATTAATAGATCGCAAACACAGCCGTTTTGATTTTACCTCATTGGTTCAGCACATCATAGATGTAGCCACCAACCGTAGCACGTAAATTTACCCTTAGATTTAATTCTAGATAGGATTTATATAAATATATAATATAGAAAAGATGAACCTTATTAATTTGACTGAATGAAACGAGAACAAAATATACACGTATAGAAAAATAATTTCAACAAAATCACGAATATGTTGCTAAAACAATATTTAATAAGAACAAATTAGACTTTTGAAGTACGTGTACTATAATCAGAGAAATGCTGAATTTAAAGCACAATACCACCATCTGTGATATGCTAAAAACACTAATGCGGAGTAAATCTCATTTGTTCTAAGTTTACCACACCTTAACCCCCCCACCTCCCCCCACCGCGCCCTTGGTACTGGTTTATTGTAAAAAATACTACTTTTTTCTCTTGTTGTCCCACGTTCATAACATAATTTTAATAAATAATTTGGGATTCAGCAAACACACGTATATCAAAAAGCTCGATCACCGCGTAAATAAATAAGACCATCACACCAATCGTTCATTACTATAAAAAAGGTTCCACTAACCTGGCGATGACGACGAACAGTTGGTGGTCCGTGTCTCCGCTGAGTGATTGCTAGTCCGGCCGTGCGGAGGCGCCGAAAACGCACTGGAACAACTTGTATGACGAACTAAGATTGGCGAACCGGGTCCTGAAAATTTAATTAAAAATAGAGGGATGAAGTGAATTAATCTATAATTTGGGATAATGCAGTTGCATAGAGATAGGACTGGTTTAAAAGTATTTGTACATGCAAAATTTAAGCAGAGTAGCAAATAGTAGAGTAATTATTTGTGATTGTCCTGGATCTTCACTACTAGACCAGTCATTATAGTAAGTTCACTTAGGAATTCGAGACACCCAGCTGTAAGTCTGTGAATACTTGTATATTGACACCCTAAAGTTGTATCAAAACCTACATATGGTAGGATGTCTGTACCATATGTAGGTTTTGAGACAACTTTATGGTGTCAATATATAAGTATTTACAGACTTACAGCTGGGTATCTCGAATTCCTAGATTCTTACCTAATTTAAGCTTAAATGACTGGACTATACTGACAATAGAATTTTGTTTAAAAATACAGAAAAATGGGTTCATTCGAATTACTCATTTTACAAAAAAAAAAAACAACAATAATACTGATTCACTTTACTCTGAATTGGGGAGGCATCAATTAATCACGTGAAGCCTTAAAGGAGAGAGGGGTTTAACAAAAAATCACGTGAGAAGAGGAGGGATTTAGTAAGATATAACATGTATATACTTTTTTACTTTTTAATAAATAATTGAAATAAAAAATTCAAAAATTCAAAAATTTCTAAAAATTGAACCTTTTTTTCTAGGCAGACGTTTGTTTTTTGGTAGATTAGGTTTCACATCTAAAATGCCTAACAGCAAATACATAGCTTTTTGGTAGTTTTTATTACCAAATTATACGAAGATTGGCCCGTAACCAATTACCAAACAGTTGCCAAAACAACACTATGTTACATTTCTATTTTTATCGGAGAATTTTCCCCTGAATGAAATATATTTTTATTGAGTAGACTTTGTCTATATATGACTGACAAAGTAACAAATATAAAAGTAACGAGAAGGGTGGGATTGAAAAATTTATTGGGTTGTGAAAGGAAAAGAACACTGAAATGGATTCATATTGAATGATGATGAACAAAACATGAAACAAAAAAATTGAAAGATAAGGGACAAGATACGAAAGTAAGCAACTTTAAAAGTAGAATATGGAATAGCAAAATATAATCAGGAAGGAAAAAAGTCCAAAACTGACATTTGCTGAATCTGATTTCTAGCAATCCATTAATATTAACAACTAGCAAACCCGACGAACTCCGTTTCGCCACGAGATGGTTTCGTGAGAAAGATGAAGAAATTTTTTGTTTGTTTTATATTTGAAAAGGAAAAATTTGATCAGGAAGGAAAACCCTACTTATTTATATATATATGGAAGATAATCTATTTGCATTTATTTAAAACAATTATTGATTATTTTTATTACTCGAATTTTAAATTACGGTGCGTGAAGTTCCAGCAATTTGCATTAGGGCACGATGCCATGCACCACTAATTTTCTAGCTAGCTATAAACCTTGCGGAGCCCGAGATCTTTCCAACGAATGCAAAATTGTCGAAATCGGTTCGTGCGTTCTGGAGTTATTTCGTCAGAAAGGAAAACCCGACTTATTTTTATATATATAGAAGATAATAATTTTAACAATAACAACAATAACGAATGATATATTCATTAGATTTTTTTGGTCGACGTTGATACATTCATGTGAAAATGTTAGCAGCCAATTTCTAAACATCCTAACCAGAGATGTTTTACTCATCAACATGCAGGTTGCTTAGAATTACTTAGTTTTTATTCTCAAATTTAAACAATTTTGAACTTGATGGACCATAGATTAGGTATTTTTTTCTTCCATAAATTGAGTAATGTTTTCTTATTTTTTGCATGATTTTTAACTAAACTAAACTCAAGCTGAATTGAACGTCATCTGAAGAAATATAGATGATATAAGTTCAGTACAAAGTAGATTAAAAAGATCTGTAATTCGTTGCTAAGTTTTAAAATTCAATTTCTTTCAATTTCAATTATCGTTACGTTAACACTATGTCAGGCAACATTAACAACATACTGATCAAATTATTATCTACTCTACTCCTACTAACCCTAACTCATACTTCAACATATTAAGAATTTTATAAACAATTTAAAAATTTATCTATATTTATGTTTAACATAAAATTTAATCTACTAACCTGAAGCAATTGTGGTGGTATTGATCGCATTATGTGGAGGCCTCATGCTGGATAAGGCGCCCAAAGGAGTATAACTGCCCCCAACGGAACTTTCCGAGCCAGAAACATCCTTAGTTCCTTCAATTAAAAATTAAATCACCGATTAAAATTGTGAAAATACATACATTGTTCCTAACTAAGTTACTCGTTTCTTGTTATTTGCAGTAGAGTTTATTTCATAATAATAATAGTAGCTTGGGTGTAGACAACTAATAACTATGTTCTTGTTAAATATTTACATTTAAAAAAACTAAAAATATTTCAATTACTAAATATAAATTACTAATGAAGTTGGCATTATTTTGCATAAAATATATATATTTTTGAAAATTACTCTTTCCAAATTTATTAAAAATGTCCAATATTTTCTAATATTTAATAAACATTCTATTTTCATCATAAAATCTTTTGTTCGCCTTATCCGTTTGTAAATAAAATTTGTTATATGAATCTTAATGTGTCTGTTAAACCTATACCTATTTCTATTCTAATACACACATTTTCTAGTCGTTGCAGTTTTACTTTGAGCAAATGACAAAAAAATTAATATTATATATTATACACACCTGTTTCCAGCAGAACACCATTGCTGCTGCATGACGATGAGGATGAAATGTGATAACGACTTCGGTGCAGATGGCTCACGGAAGACGACTGAAAATTTTAAATCAAAATCAACATTATCATCATCACGTTTATAAAAGAGGACATTAAAATAATTAAGATTATATTGATAGTAACCCTTCATCATATAATTAACAAAAATTATTATTGTTAATAAATGAAAAGTAAAATGAAGTAGTGCTGGGGTGAAAATTCTGCGAAGGCGAAGCGACTACTTTCGACTGTGGAAATGTTTAATTTTATCTTATAATTTGCAAAAAATAATACCGAGTGAAATGAAATTATTATGTCTGAAAATGACCTCAGATGGAGAAGAAGTTCAAAGAGTTGTATTGGCTAATTGGCAGGAGTTCAAATATATGCTATGAAAACAAACTCCTTTTATATAAAACAATAATTATCCCAATCTGGACATACGGCATTGAGCTATGGGCTCAATTCAAATATAAAAAAATACAAGTAGCGCAATCGAAAATTTGATGCATTATAAACGCACCCTGGTATGTTACAAATGACAATAAAAATAAAAACTATTAATGAGATGATAAAAGATAGGAGCAAAAAATACCACGAAAAACTACCAGGTCACCCGAACATATATTTAAAAGAGTTAAGCGAGGAATATCCACGCGAAGATTGAAAAAAAATAGCCATACGATCTTTAATAAAATGTCAAAAATAAAAGAAGAGAGATATCTCATAGAAGATAATCTCTTAAATGCATTTACACCAACATCATATTGTCTTAAAAACGTATATTATTTTGATTGACAATAAAACTATGCAAAAAAACGACCTTATATAAATTAATATTGAATGCAGCTTTTCATACTTAAAATTCAGTACTAAAAAGCAAAGATATCAAATAATTTCATCAGTCAGAAGTTGAAATGAACTTTTTTTTTAATTTTTGGTCAGCTATCTGAACGGTTTTATAATCTGTTGTAATGAATATTTGCTTCAACAATGTCGTTTTTTTAGAAGAAAATCCAATGCTTAATCTATCTGGTCTATGAAACCTTCTATAATCAAAGCCTGGTCTATGAGGACTACTATAGTTGATTTAGATTTATCTTATACTGATGATATACGTTTAATGTTATGTAGCAAGGAAGTGCTAATTGCACTAATAAAAATGTGTTAGGTCTATATTTTCAAGTGAAAACCAAAATTACTACTGCTAATAGAGCCAGGATGTTCAAAGTAGATATCCAACTTGGAACTCTAAAGTTGAAAGACCAAAACTTCAACCACTATTATGTCACGAAAAAATCCTAGCTTTCATGTCAAATTGCATATTTTCACATCAAATTTATAACTAAAAATCTAATTGTTGTATATTTTTTCTAATTATAGTCAAAATCTTCCAAAAAACCGTCCTCGATACACCAAACGTTTTTGTTTCGCTACCAATTTAAAATACCTCATAATTATTGTCTGTTTTCTAGTATGAAGAGTTTTTTCTTGGCACGCGTTAAGTGATAAATTAGTAATTCGTCTCAAATTACAGTGATTAAATCAGATAAGATTATTATCATAATTACCGAAGCCGTCCTGTGATGGTGCAGCCGTCGGTGGAGAGTTGACCGAGTAGTCGTATTCAGATATACACCTGCAACGATAATGAAAAAAAATAATAAAAAAATTATTAAATAAAAAATAGATAGGTGTGTTTGGATTATGTAAAATATTCTATTCAGATATTAATGCCTCGTAGTATAGTAGGCCTACTTGCTTTTGTACAATCGTCTTCTGATTGCAAATGGAAAACTCCTAAATTATTCACTGATCCAATAATACTAGGTGTGTTTTTTTTAACTTCCCGTAGGGCAAGTTATAGTAATCGCAAAAAAATCGAAAATGAAAATTTTTATATATCTTTACGTTTCAAAACCTTTTGAACATTTTGGCATACCTTAGAAAAAGTGGATGTATGTGTGTGTGTGTGTATTCGGATACAAATTTTCGTCGAAGATTTCGGGAACACGGCTGAAGCGACTTGAATAATTCAAAAAACATTCGATTCGTGTTGATAAGGAGACGTGCTGATTAGTTTTTGGTAAAGGCAGGTCTAGCCGTTCCAAAGATATGGGGCAAAAAGTGCCAAAAACGGTAACTCAGTCAGAGAACGGAGCGTCCAATTTGAATAATTCAAAAAACATTTTATTTGTATTGACTAAATAAAGAACTGTTTAAATTCTTGGAAAGGAAGGTGCAACGACTTCGGAGATATGGAGGAAAAAGTAAAAAATAAGCCATTTAGAGGTTAAAAATAAATATTATACATATGCACATCAAATTATCAGATATTTTATAGAGATTCTAACAATAAGTATAAATTTTGTTTACATTCCTATGGGTTCCGTACCAATGTTTATCTGTTAGACAGCGACGCGGCGCTTACGCGCTTCGATATTTCGTCTCTATGCAGTTATTCAATAAAAATGTGCATTAGATTATTTTAATTTTATACATCCATTGATCGAATAAAACTGTAGCTTTTCTGAAAAATTCAGTAATTTAATACTAATTTTTAGTGTCCATTTAAACAAAGTTCTTCCGATACTTAGTAAGATTTTTGAAATTATTTCTGTATATTTTTTTTAACTTAAATTAAATAATTGTGAGCATTAATAATCTGAAACTAGAATATATTCACAATACCAAAAATCAATGTATAACAATTGGTCAATATTGGTAATACAAAATCACAAAGATTTTGAATTACCAATATTTATACTAATACAAAAAACTATTTTTAGTCTATAAAGTTTGTGTCAAACCTTAATTATACAATCTCGATTGTAAAAATTTCGTTCACGTAAAGAAAATAACTAATGTCTGAATTTAAAAAAAAAATAAACGAAACTTTATATAACAGATTTATCAAAACTATTATAAACGCAAACAAAAAGCCTGGGAAACGGAAAATAAAAAGCATTTATATACCACACAAACCAGCCAGTATTTGCTGACGACAGTTATATAGGAAAAACGATTTTCTTCCGTAATATATTACGACTTTTATGTCAAATACGATCATCATACTCGGAAAACTCGCAGTTACTATTAAAACCATTTTTCGTTAGAGGCGTAGTTCAACGTTTTTATCGAATATGTAAAATGAAATTCTTGAATGATTTATAGTAAATAAATAGTTGAAAATAGCTTTACAATCTTTTAACAACTTTGAATAAATTATTTCTTAGAATTTTGAAATTTCTGTAGAAAAATGGCTTTTTTAAAAAATTTGAATTTGTTTTATGATCCATATTTTGGACTTTTGAAATGTTTGAACATTTTGGACTTTTTTTGAAGCAATGCGTTGCTTTAGTTGCGGAGAAACAAACTATTAAAGCGCGTAAGCGCCGCATCGCAATCTAGCGGGTGAAAATTGGTACGAAACCGATAGAAATATATACAAAATTTCTACTTATTAAAATCTCTATAAAATATCTGGTAATTTGATGTGCATATATCTAATGATCATTTTTGACCTCCAAATGGATTTTTTTTTATTTTTTACATTGGATCTCGGAAACCAAGAACTTTCCAAGAATTTAATCAGTTCTTCATTTTGTCAATACAAATGAAATGTTTTTTGAATTATTCAAATCGGTTGATACGTGTTCCCAAAATCTTCGACAAAAATTTGTATCCGCACACACACACACACACAGACATCTATTTTTTCTAAGGTATGCCAAAATGTTCAGAAACCTTTGAAACGTAATGATATATAAAAAATTGCATTTTCGATTTTTTTGCGATTATTGTAACTTACCCTACGGAAAGTTAATAAACTAGACGTAAGTGGCATTTTGCCTTAAGGCAAGTTGCATGAAAAAGCCACCAGTACGTATAACTAACTAATCAAAATAATACTTTAGATACAAAAAAATCAACTAATTATTTCGAGCTATTATCACTAAAAACTAATCAATGCGATTTTCAATGGATACCTCTTAAACAAAATTATATATTTGTAATTGTATTAATGGAATTAACTCTACTACATGTTCTATAAATGTATTTTATTTAATTTAATTTCAACGGTGATACAAACACAGCGTCTCATTATATCAAACGTTAATTAATCTTTATAATTAAACTATTTTTGTAGTCCTATAATATTTTAGAAGTTCTGTTGAATGAAAAATTTTACTATGCAAAATTTTAATAACTAATTACGAAGAAACGGCCCGACTTATCTTTATCATAAATTAATTATGTAACTACGATGAATAATTTTAAATATATTATTAATATTATACTATGATTTAAATTTATTATTAACAGTTATTGAATTTTTAAATCGGTTCAGTGATTTTGACCAAAAATGTTGGCCTTATGTGCAAATTATAAAAAAATAGGATTGGCCGATCACCGCATAAAACTATTCAACTCGAATCATGGTGTAGTTCACCAAATTGATTTAAAACTTTTGAAATGGGTTCAGCAGTTTTTGAGAAAACGTCGACCAAACATAAAAGTTCAGCTCACATACACATACTTTTTCCAATTTTGGTATCAAACGCTTCAGAATGACATGAAACATCAACCAAACAAACATTGATACGTCGAACTTGCTGGTGGAAATATAAGCTTGTCCATCGGCAAATATATAAAAATTATTTAACAATAATTGAGAAAAGACATGTCAATGTAATTTCTTAAAAATAGTTATTGTAAATAGTGTATTTTTGGAATTATTAATAAATTAATGCCAATAATACATAATTTATTATAGAATGAAACATATTGTTCTACATCTCACCTGTGATTGTGACATCTGTATCTTGATTGACGATAAGAGAAACTTCATGTTCCTCTTCCTTCTTAATTGAGTCCAAAACCTCCAAGTTCTGTGCTGGTTCTATTTTAACTGGATTTTTGTCAGATTTTATGGTACCTGAAAATAATCAAAATATAGCATATTGAATAAAATACTCAATTATTATCTATGATCAACAATATAATGTAAAGAGTTTGAAAGATTTTTGCCAATAAGTGGTGTTTACATAAAAATAAGACTGCCTGATCAATTTGTCCTAATACAATAGATTAAAATAAACAAATAATAAATCTAAATGTGATTCTAATAGAAATTAATAAATATATTAGATCTACTAATTATGCACTTATTTGTGGATTAATTAGGCTTTCAAGACAATTAATCATTTTTCAGAAATACATCACTGGTAGATACGCCTACTAGTGTATCTACTAATTTCTATGTTAGCAGTCGCTGATTAATGTTTTAGAATATACAGTTTGCAGAATAATAAAAAATAGAAATAAATTATCTGAACAATGACTATTCTCACCTCCAGCTACTTTGTATATCGGGTCATCCAAAGATCCATCACTAGAACTGCTGATACTCGAGCTGCTGCTACTTGATGAACTGCTAGCCCCCAAATCACCACCCAAATTTCCTCTCCTCGAAAACTTCCTTTCGTTCTCATAACTTGCAGCTAAAATCGCAGTCGCATTCAAAGAAGCCATCCTCTTCCTCACTACCATATCCTTAAGATCCATTGTGACATCCAAACGGTTTCTTTTGCGTTTCACCTTCACCACGACCTTGTCTTTATTATCTTTATTAGAAGCTGCATTTTTGGAGATCATTTTAATAGGCTTCTTGACACTCTCGCAATCTGAATCACTGGCTATGGATGAATTACTACTTATACTGGATGCACTTCTGCAAGAAGATGCTGATGTTGAAGATAACTCATGCATATCCCAATGTTTGCCAACGCTTGGCATGGCGCAACTCCTTAAAGTTCTTGGTATTTTTTCAGCTACCTTGTCTACATCATCGTCTGGCACAGGTTCTGGTTCTTGTTTTTCAGATTTTTTTGTGGTCTTTAAGAGACCTAGTTCAAAAGCTGATCTGCACTCGTTTTCATACAGACAATGTACTTTGGCTAGCGCATTCAAAGATGCTACCCTTCTGCCTTTTGGGGCATTCCATAACTTTTTCAGACGTTTAGAAGGTTCTGGTTTTATCCGTCGTTTTTCTACTTTACAAACTTTTTGAGTATTTGTATCTTTCTTTTCTTCTTCATGATCACTATTTTCTTTTTTCACTTCTTTGATATCAACGTCACAAGTGGCATTTGAAGATGCATCATCAGAATCACTCTTTTCTTTTTTTATGTTCTGCTCAATTTTTTGTGCTTTTCTGTTCTTTGCATTGGCATTTTTCTTTGATTTCAATTTTAGTTTGATAGTCGTTAAATTGCAAGAATCACTCAGGCCGATTTTTGTTTTAACAACACGTTTCAAAGCATTTGCGTGTTTTTTCAATTGTATTCCTTCAGAACGCTTCTTCAGTGGATTCGGTGATGGCTTGACTTTTTTGGCTACATGCTTGAGCCTTTTAATTGGATGTTGATTGTTTAGATTGACTCTTGGTTTTTTAACTGATTTTTTAGAGTTATTTTCTGAAGAATTATTTGAAGTTTTCTCATTATCCAAAGGTTTTGCCAACTTCTTTTTGACAACTTTACCACTAGTTTTTTCAATTTCATTTGATTTATCAACATCAGATTTATCTTGTTTTTTCTGCATTTCAATGTTTTCGTTAGGTTTAACTTCGTCTTCAAGTTTTTTATTATCATCACTTACATCTTTTAAATCCTTAGGCTTCACAGTCTTCTTTTTCTTCGCAGATTTTTCGAGCAAATCATTCTGCTGGTCAGTTTGCTTATCAGTTGGTACTTCGTCTATTTTGCAATTATCTTGTTTGCGCATTTTCTGATTAATAGTCATCTTTAATGCTTTTGCAAAGGCGTTTATTTTTTCTGAATCAAGTTTTAAAGTTTTAGGATTTTTAGTTTTGACTAATTTAGGTTTTACTGCACCTTTTGGTTTTAAAGCAGTTTCTTTCGCATTACCTTTTTTCTTAGTAGGCTTATCTGCACCCGTTAAAGCCTTTTCAATAGAGTTTTTATTTGTAGAATCAATTGACAAAGCTTTATTTTCATTCGCTTCAATATGTGAAATATCCTTGTTATTTTCAGTTTGTTGAACTGAAGTAGAATTTTTATTAGTCTTGGCATTAGCTTTTTTCTTAGTAATGTCTTTTTTCTCAATTTGAGTGCAAACTGCGTTATTGTCTAATTCCGGCTGAAGTTTTTCTTTATCTTTTCCATCTTCATTGGATAGAGTTTCCAATGCGTTTTTAGATTCTGTATCTACCTTTTTTGTTGTAGACAAAGTTTTAGTGCCTTTAGTTTTAACAGTTGCTGTAGTTTTAGGCTTCCTTTGCTTAGGTTGTTTTTCAATATCGATCGTTTTGTCAGAGTTATCAGATTTCAAATTAGTTGCTATCTTCTTAACATAGGACCTCTTAACAGTTTTTTTGCCCACCGGGCTTGTTGTGTCAAATTTGGTATTTTGATCAAGTGTTGGTGATTCTTTCGTCGCATCAGTTTTGGCATGAGAATTATTATCATTTGATGTAGTAACATCCTTCTTTGTATCAGTATCTAAAATCTTATCAACTTGATTCAAATTAGATATTTTATCACTACTGCACTGAGCAACTTGAACATTATTTTCCGCTGTAACTGTTTGAGGTACCTTGGATTTTGCAACTGTCTTTTTCTTAATTTTTTTGTCTGCCTTGTTATCTAAATCATTCTGCACTTCATCTTCATTAATATTTTTTGTACTTTTCTTGGTCGCCGCTTTCTTAACTGTCTTTTTGGCACTATTGTTAGAACCTAACCGTTTTGCTACTGCTTTTTCTTTTTTCTGCTCGTTACTGGATTTGGGAGTCTTTTTTGAAATTTCTGATTTAGTTTCAGTGTTTTGAGTTTCATTCTTCTTAGGTTTGGTTTTTTTATTATTAGTTGGTGTAGAATCCTGAATTTTATCATCATCACATGCACTTTTTTTCGGATCACATTGATTGGAAGAATCAGGTGTAGTTTTCTTAGAGCCTAAATTTTTAGAAATAACTTTTGAAACTGGCTTACTAACTTTTTTATCATTATTTTTCTTCTGACTTGTCGTTTTTGCACCGTCTTTGTCAGAAACATTAATTTTTGAAAGGTCAACTGGCGAATCTTTTTTACCTTGTAAGTTCTTATCACTTTTTAATGAGTCGTCCGCAATTTCAATAATCAGAGGAGTAGATGCACCACTTTGTAGCTTAACGTTTCCTTTTTCTGTTTCCAAAGCTTCTTCTTTAGTAGTAGATTCTTCTTTAACATTTTTCTTAGCAGCTATCTTCTTATCAACTTTCTTATTGACATCAACCTTATTACCAGTTTCTTCATTTTCTTCCGTGATCAAAGTGGTTTGTGTTTTTCCAAAATTAGATGCTTCATTTGCCAATTTTTGTTTATTTTTCCAGAGCTTTTCAGTAAGATCCTTAACAATTTTTAATTTATCTCGAAGAGTTTTTCCAGCGTTTGCTTTAAAACTTGCAGGCTTTGAAGCAGTGTTCTTAGTAGATTTTAGTGGGGTCTTTTTGACAACGGGGCGCGGAGCCCCCTTGGGCCCCCTGGCGGGGCTCATGACGAAGTTGCGCAAGAACAACTTCTTCTAGGTTGAATTCACCATCTGGAAAAAAGGGAAATAAATATTAATACTACTGGTATTACAAAATAATTTAAATAATTAATATGGGCTAGCATCAAGTACATATTAAATAGTTTTTTACAATTAGCAAAATTGATTAGATTAATAATATCTGAAACATGTTACTTTCATGAGTCAGAAGAAAAAGAAAAATTTATAATTCGATTAGACATACTATAACAAATGTCGTGTGAAAATGTCACAAAAATAGTACATAGTACACTAGAGTTTTAAATGTAGAATCTATGACTAACTTATATTAGAGCATACAAATAACGATCAAATGCAAAAAGGCACAAGATATGAGAATTATCAAGACCAACGTAGGTATACTTTGCAGCTATGAATTCGTTCATCAATTATTTTTCAATAAAAACGTAATTATAAATAACGATTGACGATTTATATATTAGGATTATGTGCATACTTAATTAAAAGCATTTCTTAAATGATAGATTAATATATTTTGGGAAATTCACATGTATGTAAGTAAATATTTCATTACTTATACAATCAGTAGTTCAGGTTTTGACAAATATCTGTGAATATTTGAAAATATTCGCTCGATTCGGAATTTACCACGTTTTTCTGGTAAGCACAACTTTGTATAATAAAATATGGAACGAGATAAAAAAAACATGCATGTTGTGTAGTCTTAGAGACTATTTAACTTGATGTATCATTTCAACATTTCAGAAACGTGTATATTATGTTACTTAAACAGTGATCATAATTTAGGAGTCTTTTAACCTCATGTGATCCTTTAACTTAGCAAACTACGTGGATTAGATAGCTGCTTTATAAAACCAACTGTTTTATTAAACCAAAACAGTTGTCTTATTTTTATGTGATGAATTTATTACAATTGCCATTTCTGTAATACTGGTATTTTTTGTTGATGCAGTAATGGCGTATCAAGGCTTTTTTCACCAGGAAACATATTGCTATCTACATTAAGTGAAAGCTGATGACACTACTGCTTGACATCAGTCTACCCGAAGAGAGATCAAACAAAGAATTTTAAATTGAAATCCCATAGCTTTAACCACTAATCAGGGAGAAAATAACAAGGAGAAAATAATTTTTCTTCAATATCCACCTTCTAATGGTGTTTCTCTAATTCTATCACAGCCAGGCTTATATTTGGTGAACTTTTATTCAAGGCTACTAATTTTTTCGTCAAAATTGAAAATATTGTTCTGGTCCTAACTTTCTTAAAAGAAATTATAAAAAACAAAGGACAACCAATTCAAATTCATGAGAAATATTCAATACTATTATTTGCAGAATGAAAAAAATCGGGGCAACTAACTATATTTCTAGGGTAAGTAATAGTAATACTTTACTATTACTTTCCAAAGGTTTCTGAAGATTTTGCCATCCTTAAAAAACGGATGTATGTTTGTGTGTATGTGTGTGTATAGTATGTATGTACTTTTGGATACAATTTTTCGTCCACGATTCCGAGAGCACTGACCAACCGATTTCAATGATTTAAGGAGCATTCGAATCCTATGGATAGAGAGACGTTCTGATTAGTTTTGGACAAAGGCAGATCCAGTAAAATAAAATATTAAAATATTTTGGTAAGTCACATTTGAGTAAATATTTCATTACTCACAACCAGTAATCCAAGATCATAGCAAATATCTGTGAATATTTGCGTAATTCGGACATTATATATCAGAGATATATGGGAAAAAAGTTCCAAAAATGGTAATTCAGTTTTTGAGAGATCGAAGCGTCCTATTTGAATGATTCCATTAACATTTTACTTGTATAGACAAAATGTCAAAAATTGTGAAGGCAGGTTCAGCGGTTTCGGAGATCCA